GCAGTGCTATTTCGTATGTGAAGGCTCGGCGTATGGTCGAGAAGGGGTGTTTGGCCTATTTAGCCTATGTTCGCGATTCTAGTGCTGAGGTTCCCTCTATTGATTCGGTGCCCATTGTTTGTGAGTTCCCTGATGTTTTTCCTTCTGACCTGCCGGGTATGCCACCCGACAGGGATATTGATTTCTGCATTGATCTGGTTCTGGGCACTCAGCCCATTTCTATCCCGCCNAGAACAGAAAAGGCAGACTACAACATGCTTAATAATGGAACTTGGTTAAATACACACAGGAGACAAACAAGAATGAAAGAAACAGTAAAACACATGTTGTTGTTGATGTTGAAAATTAGTTAGAACATACCAGTCAAGATGCAAATGTAGAGAAGAAAAAAACGAGCAAGTTTCCCACAGCTTAGCCTTGGCTTTCAGCCGGCTAGGTAAGGACCAGCGAATACAATTAGCAGACAAAGAAAAGAGAGAGAGATTTTAGTGAGGTGTATGTCTGAACTCAAGTGTTTAATGCCTTGTGTTCGTGTGTTTGAAAGAAGAGAAGGTGGGTATTTATAGTTTTGAAAATGAGTAGAAATTAAGGTAATAAGCAAATGCTTAACATAAACATGGAAACAATCACAATCAGAATCAATTAACACAAGTACTTCCCATTAATCAAGGAAGTACTGCTCAAACGGATACTAATCAGGCTAATTAAGGAAAGAAATCAGTTTGGGGACAAATTGATTCTTGCCATATAAGAGGCAGTAAAAGTATGAAGGTAAATATTTGAGTCTAAGTACGAAAACATACTTAATTTTGGAAAAGGATTCAAGGTAAGACATCACAGTAATTAAGGAAGGGAATCAATCAATTTGAACAGACTAATAAGATTAGGGTTCATCGGAAAACCCTTTGGCAATCAATCGCAACATTGAAGGATTCAGAATCAGTCAAGAAAGGGTCATGATTCTGCACCTTAACATATAAATAGCAAGGGGAGGGACAGACATATTGACAAAGAAGCAACACAAACATACAGTAAATGGTAGGGGTAAGCTAGGATTCAGCAATAAAAGAAAACCATTCGAAGCTCAGCAATCGAGTAGGTCAAGTAGTCACATAGAATAAAAAATGCAGAGAGCCAAACTAACAGGTAAGAGAGTCAGAAACACGTAAAGGTCTCACATTAACAAGTGAGGAAAACCTTTTAGGAAATTAGGGTTTCAACAGTAGTCAAATTTAAAAGATGGTAAGAACTCAGAATCAGATAAGTCAAACAAGACAAAAAGATTCAAACGCAAAGAGCTTAATCGAACTAAACATGCGTATAAAATAAACCAAGAGAATTTCAGAAGCCCAGGTAGAGCCAGAACACTTAGGGCTTTTAGCATGATGAACCAGGTAGCAGCAAACATGGACAAACATAGTAAAATCATAAAAACACACTAAAAATCGGAGAAGAGTTTAGGAAACCCTAATCGTTAAAAATGGAGAGTCATTTTGAAAGAAAAAATCGAAGAACCTTCGAGAAACACTTAAAAAGTTTGTAATAAGCACAGATCTAAGAACGATCTGAAGGAAAAATCGAACAGCTCTTAGAGCTAGGGTTTCAAAGAACCCAGAGAAAGTGAGAAAGGCTTTAAAAGATATCGATCTAGCCGGAAAAGTCAATGATCTGACTTGAACACCCATAGATGGCCGGAAAAGGACCAGAGATCGAAGTCGAGCAAGGACTGGACCAGACCTCTTTGAGATTTGTCCATGGAATCATGAAAATATGTAACCAGTAGACATAGGAGACGAGCACACTTCTCAAAACTCCAGGGGAGACCATGGATTAGGTGGGAATTGAGGTGGATTAGGGTGGAATTGGGTGGCGACGGCTAGGGTTTATGGTGGTGTTGCAGAGAGAATTGAGAGAGAAGGGGATTCAGGGGCGGCGGTATGTGAGAAATGAATTAGGGTGAAGGGGTCGTTTTGGGTTAAAAAAGGAAGGGGGTAATGGGAGCCTGATCTAATCGATCAACGGCTGGGATCAGGTGGGGCTCTGGGTACGGGTTACTGAGATGGGTTTGGGTCGGGGTCTAATAGGAATTGGACGAGGGTAATTGTGATTCAAATTGGGGTCCAATTTAGGCTATAATCGAAATAAAATAGGGCTAACATTTAAATAGCCAATTTTTCCTGTTTGATTTATAAAAAACAATAAAATAGTTTCTGCAAATAAATTAATGGTACTAAAATAATTTATAATACATAATTAATTATTTAAAAAATACCAGACCTAATTTTATGAACATAAATGTAGTTAAATCTTAAAAGAGGCTAATATTGCAATTATATGCAATTTAGCTTTAAAAATACTAAATAAATTTGTAAAAATATGCAAAAAATTCCCTTGGCTATATTTTAGCATAGATATAAAAGTGCAATATGTGAATCCAAAAAAATGATAATTTGGAAATAATTACTGAATTTTATGAATAAAATAGGAGAATAAATAGATTAAAAAAAATCTTTTAAAATTAAGGAAAAGTAATGAAGTACTTGGATATATACATATATGCATATATATACCATCTTGAAGCTATTTTTTCATATTGAAAATATATAGGGAAAAATTGGGTGTCAACAAACCGTGTTTTACATATTTTGGTCACTGGGGTTTCTCTCGCTTTTGGCATAGCGGGCCCCCAGTGGGAGGCTCGCACGGCGGACTATTAGCTCAGTGGTAGAGCGCCCCTGATAATTGCGCCGTAGTGCTTGGGCTGTGAGGGCTCTCAGCCACATGGATAGTTTAATGTGCTCATCGGCGCCTGACCCTGAGATGTGGATCATCCAAGGCACATTAGCATGGCGTACTCCTCCTGTTCGACCCGGGGTTTGAAACCAAACTCCTCCTCAGGAGGATAGATATGGCGATTCGGGTGAGATCCAATGTAGATCCAACTTTCGATTCACTCGTGGGATCCGGGCGGTCCTGGGGGGACCACCACGGCTCCTCTCTTCTCTATATTTTTTTTTCCACCTAAAAAAATATTTTGAGTCCAAAAAGATAACATTTCCGTTACGGACTCTCGATTTGTACACCGCTAATCTAAGTAGGCACCACGTACCAACGTGTAGCTTTGCTTTAATTAGTATTTTCTTAGTTGCAAAAATTCTACTAGTACATACACCATCAAATGCATTATCTACTGCGCTCGTAGCACCTCTGACCAGTATCTTTAATTTAATAGATAAAATAGTTAGACTATTAGGGTCCCCCTCGGCTTTTGGCAGGTTAGACCTATCGTGTCTTGCACGCATTTTTATATATACTCACTTTTGGTCACCGTCTTATTACACAAAATTTTGCAAAAGTATATCTATTTAGATTTGAAGTAGTTCAATCTCTTTAATGCAACTTCAAAAATCAAATATGAAGGTCTTCTATTTTGCAAATGCAATTTCAACATTTTCAAATCTTAAGTAGTTCAATCTATTGAATGTAATTTCAAATTTTGAGTCTTAAGTTCTGACTTGTTCTTTGAATTTCATCAATCCAATACTCGATTCACTATATATCCAAATTTACTCCAAATAAATTCAAATTTGAAACATAACTTTCAAATATCATAAAGAACAAATTTCAGTCATCATATCATCAAAACAACAATAAGTTTAACAAACCCATTTTGCAGCTAAGAAGAAAAAGAAGAGAAAGAAACTCTAAGCACAAAAAAGAATAAAAAACTGTACAGAAGAAGAAAAAATTATATGTATTTGAAGTTATCCAAAATTCAGATATAAGTCAAAATATTTTTTTTAAAAATGAATACAAATTTAATGAATAACACAAAGTTGGGTGCTACATGAAAATTTTACGTATTTAAGATGTTCTCGTATGTAGGCCCATTTTTATAAATATCGTACACCAATAAAGATACTATTCTCTTTGAGGCATCCTTTAGTTTCACTTACAAGCTTAGCTATTCAGTTTAAAATTTAAAACTGTGCTTCACTGAAGTAAATAACAACTTAAACGAACTAATTAAAAAAAGGAACATTGTCACAAAAATTGGAACTGAGGAAATACTAACTATTACCTACTTCATTGGAAATTATTTCAGATCATGTGCTCAACTGCTCGTAGTACTTATTCTGACCAGTACTATATTTAATGTAGATATAATAGTATTCCCTCTGTTCCAGTTAGGGGTGGCAAAATGGTTCAAAGAAAACAGTTAACCACCCATATTATCCATTAAAAAATGGGTTGGATAATAAACTTTTTAAAAACGGGTCAAATATGGATAAGAATCATATTATCCATTTAGAAAATGGATAACCAATGAGTAACCAATGGATAACCAATGGGTCTAACTTTTACATTTGTAAAGCCTCAAATTGGGGGTTTCTCAAGTGAGAGAGACTAAGAATTCTCCCAAAAGTGATCATATACAAGAAGTCATGGATAATATGGGTAACCCATATTATCCGCCGGTTAACCCGTTTTTTATCCATATTAAATATGGGTCGGGTCGGATAATTAATCCGTTTTTTCATTATCCGTTTTCAACCCGAACCATATCCGACCCGACTCGCCCGTTTGCCACTCCTAGTTCCAGTTTATGTGAACCTATTTCTTTTTGGGTCTGTTCCAAAAAAACCTGATCCCTTTCTAAATTTGGAAACAATTTAACTTAAACTTACAATTTTATCCTTAATGAGAAGCTTTTACAACAGACAAATACGCTGTGCCCCTTTTGACTTGTTTAGGATCACAAATTCCAAAAATCTTCTTTTTTTTAAACTACGTGCCCAGTCAAACAGGTTCACATAAATTGTTTGGAAGGGAGGGAGTAATACTTTTGGTGTCGCTCTAGGCTATTTTTGCTAGGTTAGACCTATCTTGTCTTACACAATTTTAAGGTGTTCTCGTGTGTAGGCTGTCATTGCCATTTCACTTACAAGCTTAGCTATTTAGCGTACAACTGTGCTTCAGTGGAGTAGTAACAACTTAACACAAAACCAATGGGGAGCCTTGGTCTCAAACCTATTGATACAAAGACCCAAATAGATAAAATGGGCATGACTAATGGCCAAAATAACAGCAAGGTGGTGGTGGTAGAAGAGGAGCAAAAAGAGCAAGTACTGCAATTTGAGCCAGCAAGCCCAGCTACACGCTTGTTCCATACTAAATCCCTCAGTTGCCACATTATTGCCATCTTAGGTTGCACTACAAAGATCAATGTCGATCTCATCAAGAAGGGCCTCGAGTCCACTCTTCTCAATCACCCTCGCTTCACCAGTATACCGGTACGTTTTGTAAAAAAAAGTTTTTCTCTTGAGTTTAACTTCTACACGTACGTCCATTAGATCACCTAAAAGATAATATGTCCATAAAAAATGACATTACAAATTACCCTGTTGCAACATGTTAATTTACATTGTTAGTGCAATGAGCTAAATTCTTATTATCTTGTTGTTGTTACTGCTTCTTTTCTATGGCTTCTACCGTATTTCTTGTTCACTACTATTGTGCTTATGCTTTCCTTGAACCGAAGATCCACTGAAAAATAGTCTCTCTATCTCCACAAGATAGGGGTAAGGTCTGCATACACATTACTTTACTCAGATCTTACTATGTGGGATTACAATGGGTAAATTGTTGTTGTAGTTGTTAGTGCAACGAGCTATATTCCTATGCTATTCTTCACATTTTATAGAGACACATTCTTTGTGCTCCAATTGCTTATAATTATGTTTCTAATACTTTCGTTTGCCAAAAAAATAAAAGGTGGTGGATGAAAAGAAAGGTGTAAGGAAGTGGAAGCAAACAACGGTAAATGTGGGAAACCATATGGTATGTCCAGATTTAGACCCGAACATGGATTCACCAAATGAATTCGTAGAAAACTACACGTCAAGTCTAACAACAATACCAATGGACATGACAAAGCCACTGTGGGAAGTACACATTCTGAATGTGAAGACATCTGAAGCAGAAGCCACAGGGATTCTTAAATTGCACCATTCTATTGGGGATGGCATGTCCATTATTTCATTAATCTTAGCATGCACTAGAAAAGCTTCAGATCCAGAAGCATTGCCCACTATACCAACAAGTTCCAAAAAAGAAAGTTCTGACGAGGCTGGATTTTTTAAGCAGTTTTGTTTTTCTGTTTGGTTTTTGTTGATGGTGTTTTGGAATACATTGGTGGATGCTATTATGTTTTTCGCAACCGTTTTGTTTCTTAAGGACACAGAAACTCCGATAAAAGGAGGAGCAGGGGTTAAGCATAATCCTAAGAGACTTGTGCACAGGACTATTAGCCTTGACGACATGAAAATAGTCAAGAATGCCTTGAACTTGGTAAGGCCGCATACTCTCTTTTTCTTTTCCCTTTCATATATTTCATTTTTAGTACGTCTATATAAAAGAATGACATCTTTATATATTTAAAGATAATTTAAATTTTAAAATTTTAATTTATCATTAATGACATAATTTATATATACGTAATATCATAGCATATTCGGGATTACAATTAGTTTCAAAAACCTTTATATACTTCTTTCTTTAACTTTATGTCCCGTCAAATACCTCACATAAATGAAACAAATAGAGTATATATCTCTTATTGTTGTCTTCTTTTAGCTACCGTCTGGCCATAAATTTTCAAATTTGTTTTTAAAAACCTGATATGGTCATAGTATATATCTCTTACTGCTAGCTTTTCTTCTTTTATACACTGTCTGTTTCAATTTATGTGAACTTATTTCCTTTTAAATCTCTTTAAAAATGAATGATCTCTTTTCATATTTGAAAACAATTTACTTTTATAGAATGATTTATAGTTACACAAAATAAATGTGCCTCATTTTACACAGAAAAGCTTCTCTCTTTTTTTTTTTAACTCTATACTCAATCAAATAGGTTCATATAAATTAAAACGGAGGAAGTATAAGTTAACTTATTTTATATTGTAAATACCAGGCCATTTAAGAGATAATTATACATAATCAATCATAACAAATTAGTAAACTAAAAAAATACAACAAGTTACATGCTGTGTGTAAAAGTACACTAATAAAATTGTAAAAATTCTTAACGGTAAGTGCATTTAAGTCATTTAATATATATATAGAGAGACACACCTAATTTATCTTGGGAAAGGTTACTATTCTCATATCTACTGCAATTTATGTTTTATTTTAGTTCCATTAAAATCTGTACGTCCAATTGCTCCTTTTTAATAGGGTGGAAGACCAATCGATTAACTAGTCCGAATCGGAATTTGTGTTGCAGTTTGTGGGGCAACAGAAATCTACTATCCTCATAATTAATAGCTCCCACTATTAGCTTTTACCTCCTGTTAATCATCAATACTGCTGTACTTGGCTTAGTTTGGATTTGGAATTTTCTTTAAATCATAATTCTAATGCGATCTTTTCTTTTAATTCCTGTTAATTATGCACATATAGTTATACATTTTTCTTCTTTCCTTTTTGTATTTCACATGTTCATATTTTGTTTTCTCTGATTATACTATTATGGTTTTTGTAGACAATTAATGATGTAGTGATGGGCATAGCGCAAGCTGGTATCTCAAGATATCTGAATAGAAGATATGGTATGTTTTCCCACTCCTTATATTTAATCTACTCCAACACCTTACTGTTTTGTGTCTGTTAGCTTGTGGTCAAAGAGCAACTGTACATATTCTATATGCATTTTATTTGATACGTGTGGAAACACAGTATTATCATTCCAAACCTTATTTTGTTTATAATTACAGGTAGTTTTTTTTGCTTATAATCCATGTGGTAAAACCATTATGCCTCTTCACTATAGTAATTAAGGGTGTGTTTGATATGAAGGAAAATATTTTTTGAAAAATGTTTTTCAATTTTCCTATGTTGGTTGGCTTAAATGTTTTGGAAAATATTTTTCTCATGAACCCTATCAAGAGAAGGGAAAATATTTTCCAACACTCTTTTCCAACCTTCCTCCCATTCCCCATCCCCACCAAACCCACCAACCCACCCCAACTCCACCTACCCCAACCCTACCCCACCCCACCCTACCCTCGCTCCACCACACCCCCACCCCCCTAAGTAGAAATATTATTAATAGTACTTTCTTTTCTTGTTATAGATAGAGTTTTTTTTTTTTAAATTTCAACAAATAAGTTTTTCTTTTCGCGATATACAAAAATGTTTATTTTTTCATTTTAACAAAAAAAAAGTACTTTTTTCATGATGTTAAAAAAATATTTTCTTTCATTTCAACAAAATTATATAATAAATAGTATTTTCTTTTATTTCAACAAAATGGGTATTTTCTTTTCATGATGTACAAAAAGTATTTTCTTTCAACAAAATGAGTACTTTATATTCATGTTATAGAAATTGTACTTTCTTTTTCAACCAAAAAAAAGAGTATTTTTTAGTTATGGAGCACAAATTTCAACGTTGTTTTTGCGTAAAAAAAGTAAAGCAACACGTTAGTTCCTTTGGGTTTGTATGAATTTTTAGAAAAATAATTAAATTGTTGAAGAAGAGAAAATAAGTGATAAAGCCACTCATTTTTCATGAAAATATTTTTTAGGAAAACATTTTCCTTCATACCAAACACACCCCAAATGGGGTCGGTTTCAACTTTCATGTGAATAGCAACTTCACTTTTTTGGTGGTGATACAGATTTTTTGTAGAGTTTTAACTATACCGTTAAAAAAAAAATCTTTATATATTGAAGTCACTTATAAGATAATTAGTTTTAATATACGTGTGTTGCACGTGTGTGTAGCGTCGTCACTCAATTAAAACTATACACATTGATGTTAAAATAAAGTATAATATTTGTATAAATGATGAAAGTAAATGTTATTACATTGACACAATAATTGAATTCAATATGTTCTGACCATGCAAAGATGATGAATTTAGTTTAATTAATTGGACATTATTTTATAATTATACATATCTTATAATATGAGATACAAATATGTTAAATTGTTTATCACCAGATATATCTTTAGGAATACATTTTGTCTTCTATTATTTCATCCTCATTTCTTTAAGTTTGCATTTTAACCAATTTAACTCTTAGAACTATAATTGAATTTGTTTTATTTTCAGATTTCTTTCATCGCCAATATCATTTTATGATAAATAATTTCTGTATTCTAAAATTGTGTAAACTTGAAAATTTATTTTACCTATATGATGAATATGGGAAGAATGAAATTGGATTATTTTGCTAATTAGTTAATTTAAATACTTAATTATCTTTAAAATATTTAAAAAATTTTAGAGGATTCAAATTCTTATCATTAGCTCATACCATATATTAAATATTTATTTATAACAAATTTTATTGACAGAAAAATATATTTTTAAATGATAAATATTCGAACTTTTGTACTTTATATTATCGATGCGTTACTGCAAATGACTTTTGTCAATCACTTTTTTTTCCTCTCTTTCTTGCTATTATTAAATATTTTTGTAATTACATATTTAATTATGTTTTAAAATCTACAATAATATTTATATCTAAGCAAATTATTAATCGAAGAATAAAACTAATTGTCAGTAAACGAATCTCACATAGATTACTTAGACCATTTACAATTTAATTACAAATTGGGATAAACGACCAAGCAAAATGTTTTCTCTTTCTTTAATATTTTCTTTATTTTATTTTGTTTACATAATAATCGCTCATTTAAAATTTAACACAATTAAACAATCTCTTTTGAGCTTAATAACGTTTAATTAGAGACAATTATAGGCATAAAGATTCCAGTTTTATTCAATCATACTTTAATTCTAGGATTTATATAAGGTAAAATATTAATGATATTAAAGTTCTAAATATAAGGTTATCACTTAATTCAAATAAGGAAAGGTTAAATAAATAAAATTTGATTCCATTTTAAACTCTTAAATATTAGCAAGAATAATAATCAAATGACTATTTTGTCTAGTGTGAACTATATTCTAAAAGGGTGAAAAAGACAAACGACATTTCGCTAAGTACCTTCGTACTTTTAATATAGTATGAATTACATGTTCACTTATGTTACTAGTATAAATTGGTAACTAACTTGATCAGAACAGTAATTAACCTATTAGAATAGATTAAAATTCAATTATCATGTAAAAAAATCTTTATAGTTATATAACATAAAACCTTTTTTGAATTAAGATTGAACCTTATCTTATGCTACATTAAGCATTAACCTGATCACTACGAACATTCAATAAGATTCAGATTATTTAGTTCTTTGTTGTTTTGTGTTTTTTTTTTGGTTAGGACAAATCATATATGTAAGAAAAGCTAACATTAGATCATATTTAATCCAATTTAAGTTTGTCATTAATGGAAAATATATACCAACTAGCCATTCCCTAACAAAAAGAAGGGCTGCTTCTGTAGTGTTTTTTCTAAGTACTGCATTCGTATTCAATTTCTGTTTTTCTACATTTATCAAACATCCATTAACTTTCAACTTCCCATATTTTTACAATCAAATTTTACTAATAATAGGCAACAAAAATGGGAGAGGAAGCAGCAAAACAAATAATCTGCCCAAGAACATTCGTCTTAGAGGATCTATTGTTTTCAACATCAGACCTTCTGGTGGAATTAAGGTAACTGCATCTCTTCTACTCCCAAAAAAAAAATCAAATAAGTACCTAGTTAAAATTTGATATGTTGGGAGTATTTCTTTATCACAGTGGCGTAGGCAGAATTTTTCATAAGCGGTGTCACTATTTCTAGTAAGAGGCCCATAACAGTCAAAAAATATTTTGTAGAGCCAAGGGAGTTCAAACCAAGACCTCTTACATTAATCTTGAAGCTATCGACCACTAGACTATTGAGTTGTTTTGTTGCATGAGGTGTCACTTTTATAGGTTTTATCTTGTATTTCTGTTTTACTTATTATTTTATATATATAAATAGTAAAACATTTCGACGAAGCGGTGTCCCGTGACACTGCTTGGTGCCATGTAAATCCGCCCCTGCTTTATCCTAAGGGGTCGTTTGGTAGGGCGTATAAGAATAATGCTGAATAATGTGTATTGGTAATGCATGGATTAGTAATGCATGGGTTAGTAATGCAAGCATTAATTATGCAGATATTATTTCTTATCTACTTTTTGGTGTAGTGTATTAAAATTATAATGCATTGCATAATTTTTAAGAAAAATATTTTTTTACAAAAATGCCCTCCATATTCTCTAGTTTTAATGAACTTTAAGGATAATTTTGTCTTTAACCATTCTAAATAGCCTCGGTATTACTAATGTCATGATTTTCTATGCATTACTTATACATAGGATAATACCAAGTATGATGTTAGTTATACACATGTTGAAAAATTATACTACCAAACAAGGTATTAGTAATTTTTTCTAATACCTCCGACCAAACGACCCCTAAGTGTTTTACTGTAGTCCTTCAGATCTGACATTAAGGCGATAAATGAGATCAGGTTCTAGCAGAGATGATGGAGAAAAAATCAAAGGCAAAATGGGGTAATAAAATTGGATATGTGCTGACCCCATTACCCATTAGCTTACCTGATAACCCCTTGGATTATATTCACCAAGCTAAAGCCATTATCGACAAAAAGAAGCTCTCTCTTGAATCCAGGTTCTCTTTTGCCGCTGCTAAGCTAACCCAAGATATATTCGGATCCAATGTGAGTTCTTTTCTTTCTTTCTTTTAGAAAAGGGAATTGTTTTAAAAAAATTTAACATATGTAAACTTATACATTAATTTTCTTGTGTTATAATTTGAAAGGTGGCGGCTAAGCTCACAAACAGAGTTCTATCTCATACCACCATCTTATTATCAAACGTCGTCGGCCCTCAAGAAGAGATCACTTTTTTCGGGCATAAGTTAGCTTATGCTGCTCCTACAATTTGTGGACTCCCTCATGTTAGTATATTACCATTTACCCCTCTACTATATTTCAATATTTTAATTTTACTCTCAAAGGATATTAGAATGACGTGTCATATTTAACACCACAAATGTACTTTAGTTCAAATCAAAAAATTTAAAAGTTTTTCTACACTTTAAAATTTTATGACAAGTCAAAAGACATAAACAGAAAGGGAGGGAGTAATTGACTTTAATGATAGTACCTTCAATCACATAAAAAGAAATATAATTTGTACAACGGAAAATGTGAATAATGGTGATATGCAGAGTAGGAAATGTCATTTATGATTTTGGTTGCAGGCACTGATAATGCATTTCCAGAGTTACTGCAACAAAATGACTATTTCAATGTCTGTGGATCCGCTTGTGATTCCAGATCCATACCAGCTGTGCGATGACTTTGAGGACTCCCTTCAGATGTTTAAAAATGCAGTTATAAAAGAAAGTGCAGCAGCCGTGTAAACTTGATAATTGTTTGTTGGGGAGCTAGCAATTTGTTTTACAACTTTAGAGTTCCCTATTTGTATAACAAAAGGCAGATTCATCTTCCAAGTGCTTGTACTACTATTGATGTATGCAATATATATATATATATATATATATATATATATGTTCCAATGTTATTATTTACCCTTAAAATGGATAACAATTAAATTTGTATGGGATTTAAAGGATGCGTAATTTAATTTAACACAAATGATCAAAAAACAGTAAATAATTGAATTAAAAGGAGATAGAACGATCAAACCAAATGTGGCGAAGTAATTAAGTCTTACGTTAGACTCAAATGCTAAAGGTCGGTTTCAGTAGAACCTTCGGAATAGAACTCGGCTATAACTAAACGGATGAACATCTAAAGAACACTTGAACAATTACTAAAAGCCAGAATAAACTTATTGCTTTGATATGTGTGCCAGCAGTGACCCAAAAAATGAAAGGGTTCTCCTCTTTATATACCAGAGGACTTTAACCCTAATACAAGTCTAAATAAGGTAAAAATCTTTCCCTTCCTCTCCCGAAAACACGCTCTACCACAAAAACCGAGCGTGATCCGCGCTCTAATATCCGGCTGATGGCGGATATTTCGGCTCTTCGTTTGTCTTGTTTAGCCGTTTTTTTCTTTACCCTCAGTTCTTCACATTGCTCGAGCTGGAATCTCTGCGGGTTCAGCCATGCCCGATTCCTGACGTATCATTCGTCCGCTCCTGATTTTGATCTATGGGCACTTTCGGTCTCACTCGAGCTAGTAACAAGTAACGTTGTTCCTCGCTCTTCAACGAAAAATCGGGGGTAACTCTGTCCCCGATTTTACTCGTACACAGATACCCCTCACTTCTCGGGGAGCAGATTATTGGAGCGATGAGAAGTGACTAATTGACCCCGGTTCCTTCTCTCGCACACCATGAACAAGTTGACGAACTCCAACGTCTTATCAGTCACGTCGTTCTAACTTTGCACACACGTCAGCCGTTGGTTGATCACCTCTAGTAGTTATCGAATTCGAAACGTCACACATTCCTTACTCTTTTCCTATAAAAGTTCTGGTTTCCTATTTTTACTTTTTTTACTTTTTGATTTCGAACTTCCCTAGGTTACCCTCGAGTTTTTCATCTGTTCATCAATCCTTCAAATCTTCATAACATATTCTTCACATCTTCATATCTTCATATTTCATCTTCAAACCTTCATACCTTACCTTCAAATCTTCATACCAAATCTGTAAACCTTCATACCAAACCTTCATACCTTCATATTCTCATATAGAGATGGCTAAAACTTAAAATCGGTACCCCAAATTACTACACCGACAACTTCTTCCTCGGCCACCGGCACCGAGGCAGTGCCCCCGGTGGTAGCCCCGAGACCTCCCCTTACAGATTTCATCCTCAGAGGCTACTCTATAGATAACGACTTCAAGGTCCAGAAAGCCTCCGCGCAAGGAGAACGGTGTGAGGAAGCATGGTGGTACGTTTGCTCCATCACCGAGGAGACACTTAAAGTATTCCGAGAGGACTGCAAATAGGAAGGCAAAGACATAGTCATTCCTAGTCCCGACGAGGACATCACGACATACGCGGAAGGATATTTAAGTGTTTGCACGCATCCTTTCATGTTTGGTCTGGTTGATATGGTGATCCTCGAATTCTGTAAGAGGTATGAAATCTACCCCAGGCAAGTTCACCCGTCGTTTCGGAGGATCATGACCCTTCTCTGTCATTTTGCAAACAGCACGAATGAGCCTCCATTCATAGTCGATCACCTGCTCTGAGTTTACACCCCCCGAATCTTCTGAGGTAGGTTAATCAAACTTGCCCCTCGGGCAAAGAAAGCTCCCTTCTCCTGTATAGACAAAGACAGGGACCGAGATTAGCAAGGTAGGTTCCTCCAAATAAAGACCGAGGACCTAATTCCTTCTGGAGTTCATGTCGTTCCCCAAGAAGTGGAACCCAAATTGTAAGTATACTTCCTCTTAAGTTATCAAAGTCCCTTCTTGAACCTAATTTTCATTCTCATGACATATTTTATTTGATATACAGCTATCCGCCAAGTCCCCAACACGGTTCCACATTTCAGGGAGTTGGTCGAGGGCATATGCAAGTAGCTCACCTATTCCAAGCGTGAGTGGCGTAAGCTCTCCAAGGGCAAATGGAGGCTCGTTCTCATGGTGAGTGCCTTTTTTCTGGTTGAATCTTTCCCTGGTCGCTTTTTATTCTTTTATTGTCACGGCTAAGTCCTTTTTTTCACAGGCTTTCCCAAGACCACCAAACTTTGGGAAATCGCCGATGTCGTTACGACCCCGTCTATAAAACCCTCCACTTCTGTATAGCCCGTTGCCGAAGTAGAAGAAGAAGAAAAAGAAGAAGAAAAGATCCCCTGACTCCTCGGACGCTCCTGACGAGGCCAAGGGGAGGGAAAGGATTGTGCTCAGGGTTAGAAAGAGCACCAAAAAGACTTCGGGTGCCCGAGTCCCAGATTCGAAGCTATTCATCAGCTCAAGGACTTTAATGAGGATGACGATGGCATGGAGTTCGTCACTCACGAGTCGATCAATGTCGGCCAACAGTTAGTGGCCCTCGAGGGGGACACTCGAACGGCTGAAACCCTCATAGCTCGGGAACTCGAAGAAGAACACGTGGCTACTGCTTCGCAAGAAGCCCCTCCGGTCATGATAGCAGCTGCTTCCGAAGGTGATGCCATCATCAACATTCAAGCATCACCATCCTAGGTAGAGGCCACTTTAAATAAAGCTCGGTCCGTCGAAGAGAAAATCGACCGAAGCGTCCCGGGCTATGGATGATGCCCTTAACTCATTTTTTTAGGGCATGGACATCGGCACTCTAGAGGATTACTCTGGATTTGGCCACCTGGAGATCCCAAAAAGGGTCTTGCAACCGGGAGTAGGTGGGTCGAGTTCGAGCTCGAAACAGTTTCTGGCCACGAGTGTGGACCCTGAGCGAAAGAAGACGATCATGTTCACGGTGCCGGCGGATACTAACATGTTGTCCAGGACAATCGCAATGGCCAACTATCTCCATTATTTGGTGAAGAAGACCAAGTGAAATGAACGAGGTAGATGGCCCAAGTCTTTTCAATGAGGCCTGGCATGTGCTAAATCGGGTATACCCCTTTCCCTGTTTATTTCACCGAGTTCACGTCATCTTAGCTGTTTCTAACTATTTTCTTTCTCCATGTCCAAGGCCTCTGTGCTTCATCATGAAAGCTTTTACCGATCCAGGATGAAGGTAAGCCACCTCGAGTTCGAGCTCAAGGAACAAGTCCGGCAAATGGAGATGTACAATGTTCTCTATGAGCAGAAGGATGAAGTCCATTAGGGACATGACCGAGCTCCCTACTCTTCGGGCCGAGCTGGAGAAGTCCTAGAAGGAGGCCTCGAAAGCGAAGTAGGATCATGCTCTCCTGATCGATAAGGTAAGAGTGCTCCAGATTGATAATGAGAGGCTAAACGCTAATGCTAACGCCGCAACCTCACAGGTCCAAGAGAAGATAACTTTGATCGACCCGCTCAGGACCGAGATGGACGACGTCAAGGTATTTGAAGGGATTATTAATAAATATTCGAATAACTTAAATGTAAGAAAAATCAATTTTAAAGCTTTAAAATTATGAACACTTATATAACCATTATAAATTGGGTAAAATGGCAAAATGATATTTTGAAAGCATATGGAATACTTTATAAAATATGAGGGTAAAATTGAGTATCAACAATAATATCCGGCTGATGGCGGATATTTCGGCTCTCTGTTTGTCTTGTTTAACCAATTTTTCCTTTATCATCGGTTCTTCGCATTGCTCGAGCTGGAATCTCTCCTGGTTCAGCCATGCTCAATTCCCGATGTATCATTATCCGCTCCTGGTTCCGATCTGGGGGAACCCTCGGTCTCACTCGAGCTAGTAATGAGTAACGTTGTTTCTCGTTCTTCAACGAAAAATCAGGGATAACTCTATCTCTGATTTTACCCGTACACAGTTATAACTTTAAATTCCTTCTTTGTTTGAGCAATAGGCACTAGCATATGCAAAACTGGAAATGAAAAAACAAGTTGGGATTAATCGATGGGGTGTGCATGCAGTGGAAACTACAACCATTAATTAATATTAACCTTGAGTTGCCCACGGAGAGGACTAATATATAGTCGGAGTAATTCCTTTGACCTCATACAAGTACATGTATGCAATATAGGTTTTAAAAGCTTTTATTCTCTTTCATTCTCAATTATTTAAATAATTAAATGATTTTCTGTTAAAAAAACATGACTTAAGAATGATTGGGTGACAATTTGAACAATGGATTTCTTGATTTTCTTGTACTCAAATAATTAATATACTAGTACTTATTTCAGTAATTCCTAATTACATGCATCCCTTTGGAAAGAGTAGGTGAAGTTTCTGAAAAGGAGAGGGGCGAAGGCTGGGCTGGTGGATTTTGGGTGGGTTTCGATTTTTCTTTGTGTCATGTGAGATAAGAAATTTTAACAGGATGACCTTTTTAAGGATTGGTGTTTAATTTTGATCATATGTTGAAGAAAAAGTTATGCAAATATAACTTTCCGCCAGAACTTCTCTTTATTCTTTTCCTTTTTTCTTTTCTCTTACTTTTCTTCTTCATTATGAATTACGAGGTTACAACTGAAACTAAAAAATAGTTAGATACGTGGAGAAGAAATTGAAGACTCGTTGCTCATTTGTGGTTGAAATTGAATGGTAATTTTCCATTGCGCTTGTATTACTTGTTCCTAATGTTTAGGATTGGTTTGGTTGAAGAAAATTAAAGAAGACCATTATTGGGCTTTATTGAGTTTGGAAAAAAAACTTGTTGAATAAGGTAAGATGGATATATTGATTTTTGAAATTATGAGTTGAATCTAGCCATTGAAAATTGTTGGGATTGAAATTAGAAGGTTGGATATCAAGTTTGGAGTCATTTGAAGTTTATTTAGACTATTTTAAAGTAAAAATGTGCTGGACTTTTTACACGATAATTTATAGTGATCCCTGAGAATATGTGCTCAAGTTTTGATATTCCATACAATATCTAATCTATTCAAAAAAACTTTTCTGAAATAATTTCATTAGATTTTTCA